ACTCTTTCTTTCTCTCTCTCTCTCTCTCTTTACCGGCTGTTATCTCTTTTAATTTCAGAGGAATATATTTCTCTCTTTATATTCGTGATAATTACTCTTTTAAAATAATTAAGATATATATATTCTATTAAATTTTTAAATCATTTTTTTGTAAACGTAAGTTTTACGTAGTTATAATTGGTACGTTATATTCTCTTTTTTATCAACTATCGATGTGATAGAAGAATATGATGTAACGAACGAAATGTAACAGTATTTTAAAAGTATTTTCATGTGTAAAAATAATTTATGTTTACATATAATTATCGACCGTTTTCTTTTCTCATTTGAAGAATTTCTCTCTTTATATTCGTGGAAATATAACATCTTTGAATAGAATAAGTAAGATTATATAAATTTTATTAAATATAAACTATTTTAACTGCATGATAATACAATTTTTATGTAGCTTTAGCTAATAATTATATTCTCTTCTCTATCGATCTATATGTATCGATGTAGAAGAATATGATAATAAACGAGGATAACAATGTTGGAAGTATTTTCATAAAAATATATTGAATAAATACATTTTTTTTAATTCTAATTTAACTGTAAGTATTGTTTTGGATACATCGCAACTAGTGCATTGGAAAAATTATAAATAAAAAAATAGTTTATTTAAATATTTAAAAATTGTTGAAATACCATCTATTTATATCGCTATCGTAAATATGAGAGTCCATCAAAAACATCCTCGATTTCTTCCTTTCGTCCAAATACCGATAGTACTATCATTATTCGATTGTGATACCATCGATGATAAATGGCATGCGTACCGAGGGCTGCAAACTTTGTTTCATTCTCGAGATATTTTAAATGTTTATGGTCGTATCCTCGTAAAACAATTATATGTTCCCTATATAATTAAAAAAAATACATTATTATATTCGCATCCATATACTTATACTTTATATGTGAAAAAGTTACACGACTCAAATTTAAAAAATTTGAAGAAATTGATATTAAATATCTACTTTCAAATAGATTAACAAGAAAACAGAAATTTTGTATTACCCGGAATTCTGCCATTGAACAATATAGGGATTCTTTGTTCGATCGTTTGCTAATTTATTATAAAGACCAAGTATTCCACGTGTTATCTACAAAAATATCCAATGTATATTAAAGCTTGATTAATTTCTTATTAAACAATTTATTTGAAAACAAATATAAATGATATATTAAAAATAGAGATGTTAAAAATAGAGATCTAATAAACACTTAAAATTATTATATTTGCATTTGGTATTAAGAGGCTAAAATGCTTTAATAACTATTTATATTAATTCTTACTGTACTAGCTGTCACTCCTAATTCCATAGGAATATCAGTATTAAGTATTGAATAAAAGACATATTCATCGAGTCCAGCTCGGTTTTTAATCATTCTAAATTTTTTGTTTCTTCTATTATATATAATTTGCTTATTCAATTCCGATATTTTTCTAAAATCGATCATTTCATTTTATAAAATTATAATATTAATATTATTTATTTGTTAACATTATTTATTTGTAGTTGATTTGAATTTCTTGTTAAATACATGATATTATATACATAACTATAATGATAATTACAGCATTTAATATTATGCATATAATTCATCATTTTTAAAGAAAAAAATTATATTTGCAATATATTTATAACTTTATATATATAAAATTATCTGTTCCATTCTTTATTTAAAATGAATTTATTATTGCAGTTTCTTTTGTTATTTATGTTTTGATTTTTCATTTTGCAAATTACATAAACGTTTACGTATTTCTTATAAATAAAAATATTTTGGTTATGTATTTCTAACATGTTTCTCTCTCTAACAATGATTCGTTATATCAAAATTCTGATACATACATTATTTTAGTTATATTAGTATAATAAATCTCTGTCTTTCATTTATATATTAATGCTAAAAATTATTTTAATTTATGTACTTTGTACAATTTTTCGAAATCTAGCTTAATCTCCATCTCTATCTAATTTAACTAATAAATTCCTATTATAATATGATCGCATTTTAATAGATACTTTTTGCTAACACAAAATATATTTTTATGTATTAATGTATTATGTATATTAATAAGTGCATAATATAATTTTTTCATTAATATGAAAATTTTAATTGCATCACAATTCTTTATTATCGATACAACAAATAAATAGTTTTTTATACTTTGAAAGGATCTTCTTCATCAATTGTCAACTTTGTTATTGCCTATTTGTAAATCACAATCATTTCACGGTACACGCTAAATCACACAGAAATTTAGAAAAGAAATTTACATCTCTTTTTCAGTCGTCTTTATTATACTGACATTTTATTAACATTATAGATGATATAAATTACAGTTGCCTTCAGATAGTACACAAATTTACCTCTCTTAGCTAACTTTCCGCATATTCGAGAAAGATACAAGTTAAAATCTTCTTTTTAAAGAGAAAGCTTTTTTACGAACAAGATATTTGTTTTTTATTTTTTCAAAATAAAATTTTTCAAAATAAAATCTCTAAAATGTCTGAATTCGCAATGTTCCGAGTTAAGCGCGATGCTAGAAATCGGTCTGAGATCTTGGATGGAATAAACAAATCACATTTGAACAATTTGGCCACATGACCAATGCGATTGGTTAATTCCTTCTTCATCTGAAATCTCCGACTGATCTAGCATTAAGACATAAGGCCACAGATAAATTTGAAAAGCCATACCGGCCTTCTTTCTGTTACCGTCAAAATCGCCGGTATACTACAATCAGTATATCCATTTTCGATTAGGAAACTACATGACTACATCCACTTTCTTCTTTCGATAAAATCGTATCGTCAAAAGTAAATATGATTCATGTCTGTACTACATAGGACAGAAGTGTTCCTTCATATGGATAGTCTGCACGCTTCTATCCTATGAATTCGAGATGGCATCTTTCCGTCTCCGACACCCATACTATCCGTATTTAGGGAAATCTTGTAGGTTTTCCTAAATACATTCATATATCTTTTACATACACACTTAGATTAGTGTGTTACGCACCAATCTAAGTATGTATGTAAAAGATATATGAATGTATCTACCTTGCATAGATCTTCTTCATCTTCTTTCTTCTGGCCACTACCTGTCGTTGCACCTGACCAATATTCTGACTTCACATGCCAGAAAACAATAAGGAAAAATACTCCTTTTTATTGCCGATTAATCATCGCTGCCAATAATCGTAAAATATATGATTCGCGAAACGCGAACGCGTTGCGAAGAGATCATTGTATTAACGAAATCGATTAAATATTAAAATAAATAACTGTCAAATAATTCCATTAAAATTAAATGAACAAATTTCGTGTTTATTCTTTATTCGCGTTTATTAAAAATATATATATCAAATTATTTTAATTACTATCGATTAGAAATAAATCTACATTAAAAAAAAATCTTTATATCAACGTTCCGATTCGAAAAGATCCGATCGCAAATGTTATGAAATTTCGATTAAACTTTATAAAATAAATTTCGGGTATAATGCATTATTTATTCTTGTTCAACATTTGGTGAATAATAAAAATAAATGACGTATCATGTGCATCATGCGTGAAACGGAACGCAGCCTTCATCATATCAATAAAACTTTAATTTAAAAATTAACTGAAAATGACTGAATCGATTACCATGCAATAGAATCTAAGGCTTATATACATATTGTCATCGATTCGAGCGATTCATTGCTGAATCTCATCTCAAAAGCATGCAAAGATGAGAAATTCAGATAAATGAGATAAGATTCAAAAGGAAAGATAACAAATTTCCCACATATTAATAAAACTATCTCTTTGTATCTTGTAAATTATTAAAATATTTAAAAATTTTTTGTATAATATATCATTTTTAAATTAAGTATATTTAAGAGCAAAAACTGAACGAGATTACAAAAATAAATATAATTAAATTAAATTCTTCTATTTCAAGACAAAATATATATTTAATCTCACATAATATTAACTGGTATAAAATCCAGTTAATTATTAATCACTTTATATGGATAAGTTATAAAAGTTTAAGTTAAAGTTGAAGTTGCCTTAGAGAGGAATGTAATAATTAATAATCGTATAATACTTTTGATAAAAAGCAAGATTAACATATGTATGAAATATATTTATATGTTACATTGAAATATTATTTTAGTGATAATATCTACACAAACAAATTGTAAGGCAATTTCTTAGAAAACAATACGTGTATGTTGTTTTCTTGCACTAACTTGTATAAATTTAATCCTAGATGAATATTTGAATATAGGATAGATAGAAAAAATAATAAAACAATATTTGTTACACTATAACAAACATTTTTCCATATTATATTATCTATAAATAATAATTCTATTTATTCTAATCTTTTTTTATATATATTTTTTATTATAGTATATT